TGGACGCGGCAGGGATTGGGGAGGGACTGTGGCGGATTACACATGCCCGTCACCACAACACACACACAAGAGGAAGATAGGAGAGCTCGGGGAGACATGATCACCACATACAAAATCCTCGGGGGAATGAACAGAGCAGACTAAGATGGATTAACACTGGTGGGACACGAACAAGGGGACACGGGTGGAAACTGAGTACCCAAATGAGCCACAGAGATATTAGAAAGAACTTTTTTAGTGTCAGAGTGGTTGACAAATGGAATGCATTAGGCAGTGATGTGCTGGAGGCTGACTCCATACACAGTTTCAAGTGTAGATATGATAGAGCCCAATAGGCTCAGGAACCTGTACACCAGTTGATTGACGGTTGAGAGGCGGGACCAAAGAGCCAGAGCTCAACCCCCGCAAGCACAAATAGGTGAGAACATACACACACCCGTCAGGGAGAGATGTATGGGCAAGTCTCCTTGCACCTGTTGCCTCTCTTCACCCAGCAGTCATTAGGAACCTGGGTGTTAGTCGACTGTTGTGGGTGGAAGCAGCCCGTGACAGCTGACTAACACCCAGGTACCTATTCTACTGCTAGGTAACAGGGGCATAGGGTGAAAGAAACTCTGCCAATTCTTTCTCGCCGGCGCTTGGGATCGAACCCAGGACCATAGGATCACAAGTCCAGCGTGCTGTCCGCTCGGCCGACCGGCTCCCAATCTTGGGGAGTGGTCAAATGCTGCATATATCCCAGGTATACTGCAATTTCCATGACTGTCATGGTGACACAACAATGTTCTTAATTTCAAGTTCTTAATTTCAAGTTCTTAATCCTAATTTTAGCTGGATAACGACCCGCCAAATCGTTTAACATCCTGGTACCCATTTTACTGCTGGGTGAACAGGGGGCTACAGTTAAGGATTGGTGCTTAGTCAATCCTCCCCCGGCCAGGATACGAACCCAGGATAAAGAGCTCGCGAAACGCCGAGCGAGTGTTTTCCCAATACGCCACGGAGACTGCTAAATTGTCATTGTAGGCCTCAGTCTTGGGTTATCAAATAGGACTCTTAAGTGTCATTATACGAGACTCATTATACGAAACTCATTATACGAGAACTCAGAGCTATGTGAAGACAGCAGAAGAGAGCAAACAGGAGCTCTATATGATACAATGTTTATTACAATGAAATGTGTAAATATTACAATGAAACAAAATACCTCTATAGGGAGCAGAGGGGAATTATCAGGGCTAATCACCAAGCCATTAAGGCTATATAGCACTTGGAAGCTATCAGGATAAGGATTAGGGATGGGACAGGGAAAGGAATGGTACCCAACCACTTAAGGACGGTCGGGGATTGAACGCCGACCTGCATGAAGCGAGACCGTCGCTCTACCGTCCAGCCCAAGTGGCTGGGACCCGTTGTTTAAGATTCGCTACCTGGAACAAAAAGTTCCAAGTAGCACGGGCTATGGTGAGCCCGTCTGGGACGCGTATGAGGAGCTCAAGGACGAGTATGGGGTGCACAATAACTGCCGCTTATAGGAGGAGTATGGGGTGCACAATAACTGCCGCTTATAGGAGGAGTATGGGGTGCACAATACACTACCACTCACAGGATGAGTATGGGGAGCACAATAAACTACCACTCACAGGAGTATGGGGTGCACAATAAACTACCACTCACAGGATGAGTATGGGGTGCACAATAAACTACCACTCACAGGATGAGTATGGGGTGCACAATAAACTACCACTCACAGGAGTATGGGGTGCACAATACACTACCACACACAGGATGAGTATGGGGAGCACAATAAACTACCACTCACAGGAGTATGGGGTGCACAATAAACTACCACTCACAGGATGAGTATGGGGTGCACAATAAACTACCACTCACAGGAGTATGGGGTGCACAATAAACTACCACTCACAGGATGAGTATGGGGTGCACAATAAACTACCACTCACAGGAGTATGGGGGTGCACAATAAACTACCACTCACAGGAGTATGGGGTGCACAATAAACTACCACTCACAGGAGTATGGGGTGCACAATAAACTACCACACACAGGAGTATGGGGTGCACAATAAACTACCACACACAGGAGGAGTATGGGGTGCACAATAAACTACCACACACAGGAGTATGGGGTGCACAATAAACTACCACACACAGGAGGAGTATGGGGTGCACAATAAACTACCACACACAGGAGGAGTATGGGGTGCACAATAAACTACCACACACAGGAGTATGGGGTGCACAATAAACTACCACACACAGGAGGAGTATGGGGTGCACAATAAACTACCACACACAGGAGGAGTATGGGGTGCACAATAAACTACCACACACAGGAGGAGTATGGGGTGCACAATAAACTACCACACACAGGATGAGTATGGGGTGCACAATAAACCACCACACACAGGATGAGTATGGGGTGCACAATAAACCACCACACACAGGATGAGTATGGGGTGCACAATAAACTACCACACACAGGAGTATGGGGTGCACAATAAACTACCACACACAGGAGGAGTATGGGGTGCACAATAAACCACCACACACAGGATGAGTATGGGGTGCACAATAAACCACCACTCACAGGAGGAGTATGGGGTGCACAATAAACTACCACACACAGGATGAGTATGGGGTGCACAATAAACCACCACACACAGGAGGAGTATGGGGTGCACAATAAACTACCACACACAGGATGAGTATGGGGTGCACAATAAACTACCACACACAGGATGAGTATGGGGTGCACAATAAACAAGCTGTCACCGCCGGATAAAGCGCTGCCTAACTCCCGGGTACCTATCAACATCTAGGTGAACAGAGGCACTAGTTGAACAAAATCGAAACGTGACCAACCGGACTGAACCCGGAACCCTTCCTTGCAAGCCCAGGACGCAGCCCAGTGAGCCACGAGGACCCAGCCACCTCTAAGATGGTAGATGTGGTCACCTCCGGTGCTGACGCAGGAGGGCGCCGGAAGGATCCGCTGTGTCGGCGTTCTATCCACTCGATGCAGCAGTCCGGCCTCCTAAGGTGTCTCAACGGTCAATTTAAAGTGGTCTCTCCTAAAAATACAGAGGACAGTACGTGCTCTGTATTGTAACAAGGAGTAACAAAGAAAACGGGACAGTATGTCCCTTTCGCCATCCGCTTCCATTTTCTAGTACGACAATTTCTGGATTTATGTAGCGCCTACGTGCGAAAAGCGACGTTCTTTATAGGAGGACAGGTTATAATATTTGATTTATTAACATTCAGAGGATAAGATTATATTGGTTAATTAGTAGGTAAAGAATTTGTATATTATATACCGCTAACGATTCCTATTGGCCCATACGAGGGAACTCCTATTGGTCCTTACGAGGCAGCTCCTATTGGTCCATACGAGGCAGCTCCTATTGGTCCATACGAGGTAGTTCCTATTGGTCCATACGAGGCAGCTGCTATTGGTCCATACGAGGCAGCTCCTATTGGTCCATACGAGGCAGCTCCTATTGGTCCATACGAGGCAGCTCCTATTGGTCCATACGAGGCAGCTCCTATTGGTCCATACGAGGCAGCTTCTATTGGTCCATACGAGGCACCTGCTATTGGTCCATACGAGGCAGCTCCTATTGGTCCATACGAGGCAGCTTCTATTGGTCCATACGAGGCAGCTTCTATTGGTCCATACGAGGCAGCTTCTATTGGTCCATACGAGGTAGCTTCTATTGGTCCATACGAGGCAGCTCCTATTGGTCCATACGAGGCAGCTTCTATTGGTCCATACGAGGCAGCTGCTATTGGTCCATACGAGGCAGCTCCTATTGGTCCATACGAGGCAGCTGCTATTGGTCCATACGAGGCAGCTGCTATTGGTCCATACGAGGCAGCTGCTATTGGTCCATACGAGGCAGCTGCTATTGGTCCATACGAGGCAGCTGCTATTGGTCCATACGAGGCAGCTCCTATTGGTCCATACGAGGCAGCTGCTATTGGTCCATACGAGGCAGCTGCTATTGGTCCATACGAGGCAACTGCTATTGGTCCATACGAGGCAGCTTCTATTGGTCCATACGAGGCAGCTCCTATTGGTCCATACGAGGCAGCTGCTATTGGTCCATACGAGGCAGCTCCTATTGGTCCATACGAGGCAGCTCCTATTGGTCCATACGAGGCAGCTGCTATTGGTCCATACGAGGCAGCTCCTATTGGTCCATACGAGGCAGCTCCTATTGGTCCATACGAGGCAGCTGCTATTGGTCCATACGAGGCAGCTGCTATTGGTCCATACGAGGCAGCTCCTATTGGTCCATACGAGGCAGCTCCTATTTACATCCACCCAAACTCATATGTCTAGCCTTCGCTTGAAACAACCCAGCGACCCCCTGTCTAATATATAACACAGAGCAATATCTCATGAGATATTGAGATATATGAGAGAGAGAGAGAGAGAGAGAGAGAGAGAGAGAGAGAGAGAGAGAGAGAGAGAGAGAGAGAGAGAGAGAGAGAGAGAGAGAGAGAGAGAGAGAGAGAGAGAGAGAGAGACTGCACAATCGACCTGTTAGCTCTTGGGCCCCGCCTTTCTAACCGCCCATTGTTAAATGTACTCTCCCTTGAGGTATTTTTCCTCTATCATATCTACTATATATTTTTCTAAAACACACACACACACACACAGACACCTTCCCCCCCCCTCAGGATGACAGCAGCCCGTGACAGCTGACTAACTCCCAGGTACCTATTTTACTGCTAGGTGAACAGAGGGCATCAAAGTGAAAAAAACTGCCCATTTGTTTCCGCCATCGCCGGGGATCGATCCCTAGACCCTATGATTACGAGCCCCGAGCGCTGTCCACTCAGCCACCAAGCCCCCCCTGCATGTCCGTGTATCAACAGGAATATATGAACAAAAGCCTAACAACATGCGACATGTAAACAATAACACATATTAGAGCCAAAAAGCCACTTTCCAATAGGCAAAACACTCACCATAATGTGACGAGGACTGACAAGGGGTCCTATGTAACACAGGCTGGACGGTATATAGGACTAGAGAGGTGTATATGTACTCTGAGGGAGCAACGTTCCACCCCGCCTGCTGGCTCCGCACGGTCCCGCGGTACTGAAGCGAGTGAGGACCTCGGCCCAGGGAGCATGCCTTTATATACCTCCCGCTCCCGTGACGTCATTGACACTGTGACGTCACGGGGCAGGGATCACTGTGATAAGGGGGGGGGGGGGAGGGATGTGTTGATGACTATTGTGATGAACGCCGCCCCCCCCTCCTGGTGGCACTGTACCTGATGGCACTGTACCTGGTGACACCTGGTGGCACTGTACCTGATGACACCTGGTGGCACTGTACCTGGTGATACCTGGTGGCACTGTACCTGGTGGCACCTGGTGGCACTGTACCTCGTGACACCTGGTGGCACTGTACCTGGTGACACCTGGTGGCACTGTACCTGATGACACCTGGTGGCACTGTACCTGGTGACACTGTACCTGGTGATACCTGGTGGCACTGTACCTGGTGGCACCTGGTGGCAGTGTACCTCGTGACACCTGGTGGCACTGTACCTGGTGACACCTGGTGGCACTGTACCTGGTGATACCTGGTGGCACTGTACCTGGTGGCACTGTACCTCGTGACACCTGGTGGCACTGTACCTGGTGACACCTGGTGGCACTGTACCTGGTGACACTGTATTTGGTGACATTGTACCTGGTGACACTGTACCTGGTGACACTGTACCTCGTGACACCTGGTGGCACTGTACCTGGTGGCACTGTACCTCGTGACACCTGGTGGCACTGTACCTGGTGACACCTGGTGGCACTGTACCTGGTGACACTGTATTTGGTGACATTGTACCTGGTGGCACTGTACCTGGTGACACTGTATTTGGTGACATTGTACCTGGTGACACTGTACCTGGTGACACCTGGTGGCACTGTACCTGGTGACACCTGGTGGCACTGTACCTGGTGATACCTGGTGGCACTGTACCTGGTGGCACTGTACCTCGTGACACCTGGTGGCACTGTACCTAGTGACACTGTACCTGGTGACACCTGGTGGCACTGTACCTGGTGACACCTGGTGACACTGTACCTGGTGACACTTGGTGACATTGTACCTGGTGACACTGTACCTGGTGACACTTGGTGACACTGTACCTGGTGACACTGTACCTGGTGACACTGTACCTGGTGACACCTGGTGACACTGTACCTGGTGACACTTGGTGGCACTGTACCTGGTGACACTGTACCTGGTGACACCTGGTGGCACTGTACCTGGTGACACCTGGTGACACTGTACCTGGTGACACTGTACCTGGTGACACCTGGTGACACTGTACCTGGTGACACTGTACCTGGTGACACCTGGTGACACTGTACCTGGTGACACTGTACCTGGTGACACTGTACCTGGTGGCACTGTACCTGGTGACACTGTACCTGGTGACACTGTACCTGGTGGCACTGTACCTGGTGGCACTGTACCTGGTGACACTGTACCTGGTGACACTTGGTGACACTGTACCTGGTGACACTGTACCTGTTGACACTGTACCTGGTGGCACTGTACCTGGTGGCACTGTACCTGGTGACACTGTACCTGGTGACACTTGGTGACACTGTACCTGGTGACACTGTACCTGGTGGCACTGTACCTGGTGACACTGTACCTGGTGACACTGTACCTGGTGACACTGTACCTGGTGACACTTGGTGACACTGTACCTGGTGACACTGTACCTGGTGACACTGTACCTGGTGACACTTGGTGACACTGTACCTGGTGGCACTGTACCTGGTGACACTGTACCTGGTGACACCTGGTGACACTGTACCTGGTGACACTGTACCTGGTGACACTGTACCTGGTGACACTTGGTGACACTGTACCTGGTGACACTGTACCTGGTGACACTGCACCTGGTGACACTTGGTGACACTGTACCTGGTGACACTTGGTGACACTGTACCTGGTGACACTGTACCTGGTGACACTGTACCTGGTGACACTTGGTGACACGGTACCTGGTGACACTGTACCTGGTGACACTGTACCTGGTGACACTTGGTGACACTGTACCTGGTGACACTTGGTGACACTGTACCTGGTGACACTTGGTGACACTGTACCTGGTGACACTTGGTGACACTGTACCTGGTGACACTTGGTGACACTGTACCTGGTGACACTGTGCCTGGTGACACTGTACCTGGTGACACCTGGTGACACTGTACCTGGTGACACTGTACCTGGTGACACTGTACCTGGTGATACTGTACCTGGTGACACTGTACCTGGTGACACTGTACCTGGCGACACTGTACCTGGTGACACTTGGTGACACTGTACCTGGTGACACTGTGCCTGGTGACACTTGGTGACACTGTACCTGGTGACACTGTACCTGGTGACACTTGGTGACACTGTACCTGGTGACACTGTACCTGGTGACACTGTACCTGGTGACACTTGGTGACACTGTACCTGGTGACACTGTACCTGGTGACACTTGGTGACACTGTACCTGGTGACACTTGGTGACACTGTACCTGGTGACACTGTGCCTGGTGACACTGTACCTGGTGACACTTGGTGACACTGTACCTGGTGACACTGTGCCTGGTGACACTGTACCTGGTGACACCTGGTGACACTGTACCTGGTGACACTGTACCTGGTGACACTTGGTGACACTGTACCTGGTGACACTTGGTGACACTGTACCTGGTGACACTTGGTGACACTGTACCTGGTGACACTTGGTGACACTGTACCTGGTGACACTTGGTGACACTGTACCTGGTGACACTTGGTGACACTGTACCTGGTGACACTTGGTGACACTGTACCTGGTGACACTGTACCTGGTGACACCTGGTGACACTGTACCTGGTGACACTGTACCTGGTGACACTGTACCTGGTGACACTTGGTGACACTGTACCTGGTGACACTTGGTGACACTGTACCTGGTGACACTTGGTGACACTGTACCTGGTGACACTGTACCTGGTGACACTTGGTGACACTGTACCTGGTGACACTGTGCCTGGTGACACTGTACCTGGTGACACCTGGTGACACTGTACCTGGTGACACTGTACCTGGTGACACTTGGTGACACTGTACCTGGTGACACTGTGCCTGGTGACACTGTACCTGGTGACACCTGGTGACACTGTACCTGGTGACACTGTACCTGGTGACACTGTACCTGGTGACACTTGGTGACACTGTACCTGGTGACACTTGGTGACACTGTACCTGGTGACACTTGGTGACACTGTACCTGGTGACACTTGGTGACACTGTACCTGGTGACACTTGGTGACACTGTACCTGGTGACACTTGGTGACACTGTACCTGGTGACACTTGGTGACACTGTACCTGGTGACACTTGGTGACACTGTACCTGGTGACACTTGGTGACACTGTACCTGGTGACACTTGGTGACACTGTACCTGGTGACACCTGGTGACACTGTACCTGGTGACACTGTACCTGGTGACACTTGGTGACACTGTACCTGGTGACACTTGGTGACACTGTACCTGGTGACACTGTACCTGGTGACACTGTACCTGGTGACACTGTGCCTGGTGACACTGTACCTGGGGAGCAGCACGACACTACCCTCACACAACTACCATTAACAGTTCACAGTTACTGTGAAGACCAATTACGGGTATAAATAGCCCGGGTCACACACACACACACACACACACAGGACGATAGTAGGAGGCTACAAGATGACCTAGACAGACTGAATGAATGGTCCAACAAATGGCTGTTGAAGTTCAACCCGAGTAAATGCAAAGTAATGAAACTAGGCAGTGGAAACAGGAGGCCAGACACAGGATACAGAACAGGAAATGAAGTACTTAATGAAACAGAGAGAAAGATCTAGGAGTTGATATCACACCAAACCTGTCTCCTGAAGCCCACATAAAAAGAATAACGTCTGCGGCATATGCGAGGCTGGCTAACATCAGAACGGCGTTCAGGAACCTGTGTAAGGAATCATTCAGAATCTTGTACACCACATATGTAAGACCAATCCTGGAGTATGCGGCCCCAGCATGGAGCCCGTACCTTGTCAAGCACAAGACGAAGCTGGAAAAAGTCCAAAGGTATGCTACAAGACTAGTCCCAGAACTAAGAGGCATGAGTTATGAGGAAAGGCTGCGGGAAATGCACCTTACGACACTGGAAGACAGAAGAGTAAGGGGAGACATGATCACAACCTACAAAATCTTCAGAGGAATCGACCGGGTAAACAAGGATAAACTATTCAACACTGGAGGTACGCGAACAAGGGGACACAGGTGGAGACTGAGTACCCACATGGGCCACAGAGACGTTAGAAAGAACTTTTTCAGTGTCAGAGTAGTTAACAGGTGGAATGCATTAGGCAGTGATGTGGTGGAGGCTGACTCCATACACAGTTTCAAGTGTAGATATGATAGAGCCCAATAGGCTCAGGAACCTGTACACCAGTTGATTGACAGTTGAGAGGCGGGACCAAAGAGCCAAAGCTCAACCCCACACACAGACACACACACACACACACACACACACACACACACACACACACCCACCATGCCAAGGAGTTCCCACAACAGTGAGAGAGATCACTGGAGTTGTGTAGTACAGTCAACACACTGCCAGAGGTAAGATGCTCCCACTCTACCACAGTAAACCACCATTCTCAGAAAGTCTTCAACCAATCAGATGACAGCATTCATATGATGATTATTGAACTGGTATTATATATTAAACCAGCTTTGAGGAGGCTGATTAGCACCCAGCGCCTCCCTCTCTCACCTCAATGGCTTATTGCGTGCGTGCGTGCGTGTGTGCGTGCGTGTGTGTGTGTGTGTGTATTTGCCTGAATTTACCTGGGGGGCCGCCATCTTTAGTGGCTTAATAAGTGGCTTTAGTGGAATAAGTGGCTTATTAAAATGAACAACCCCTGGTGGCGTAGTGGTAACATACTCGTCTCGCGAACAATTCCTACTGGGTTCGAGTCCTGGCCAAGGAAGGCTGGTGAGGCGCCAATCTCTAACTGGTTCGTCCCAGTCCACCAGGCAGTAGTTGGGTAC